ACTTTTGATGAAGAGATGACTGCCATGTTTTCCAGTGGTAAAACATGCAATTACATAGTGTGAGCTGAAAATTCTCTGATATACAGTAGTTTATAAGCATAAGCACCCCTCCTCCCTCTCCTACCCATTGATAAATTGGAATTCAGGAGAAGTTTAACACAAGGCATAGACAACTAATGGAATATAGTGTGATAAATTATGACTGTGAAATGTGATGCCCTCCAGATGTTTTAGACCATATGTCTAATAATTCCTAGCCAAAGGGATGATAAACAGAGATCATGTAGTTGGAGACATCATACTGATAACAATAAAGGTATATGTTGTCAATATCATTTCCCACACTTGTAACATATGGCTAGACATAACAGCTGGACTACTGGACATGTTGAATGAAATAAAAAAGAAGTTTTTGAATTGTGGTGCTGGAGCAAATTGAGCTTCCTTTGGACTATAAAGAGAAGAAATAATTTCACAATAGACAAAGAAAAAACAGAGAAATTACTGGAAGCATTAGCAATGAACCTAAAACTTGTATACATACAATTCCAGGTAAGAATCCTTGAAAAAGGCACTGTTAATTGGAAGAATCAAAAGCAATAAAAAAATAAAGTGACAGAACAAAAGCTAATAAATATTATCACTAATGTCAGAAGCATGGATATCCTGTATGCTTAAAGAAACAATCACTGACAAAGTATTCCACTGAAGTTATGTTCATCTACTCAACTAAAAGTTGGGAGCTGCCAAACTCTAGAATGTTTTTTTTTATTTTAAATTTAATCTATGTTACCATCCCATAACATTTTTATTTTTTCTCTTTGATCCTTTGTCAAAGAGATCCATACTTACTTTCTACTATGCAGAAGGAACTCAAGAGTACCAATGAAGAAGAAAAATAACAGCTCCCAAAATAACAAAAAATAACAGCTCCCAAAAGAAACCAGCATAGCTGCATAAAGACCTCTCTGACAAATTGAAAGACAAAAAAGTTTAGTATAAAAAGTGGAAAGAGGGGGACATAACTAAGGCAGAATATCAGCAAATAGCCCGAGCCTGTAAAGATGAATGTAAGGAAAGCTAAGGCTCACAATGAAGAAAGGCTTGCCACAAAAGTAAAAAATAACAAAAAAAGCTTCTTCCAAAGGCTTAAGGAAACAATTGGTCCATTGCTGGGAGAAAGTGGCAAGGTGACAAGCAACAGGGAGAAAGCAGAACTATTTAACTCATTTTTTTGCATCTGTCTTTACACAAAGGGATAAAACAGT